ACATACCCAAAATAACGCATCTCTAGAAATCGAAGTCTTCACAATATCAATATCGTGCCTGAAAAAAGAAAAATAACTTATAACGCTTCTAATGCAGGATCAGAATCCAAATGTCAACGGTTTTCACCCAAAATATCTTTCAGCGTGAGATTTCTTCCAGCAAGTGCAAACACTCTCCAAGGCGTTCTCCAGGAGTTCTCGCCCAAGTGTCCAGATCTCTTCATCTCGTCATCTCGAGCCCTCCTCCCTTTGTTACGGGCACTGACCGGCCGCAGTGACGGGTCACCGGGTCACCCTACAGCCGCGTTCGCCGGCCAGCGGGTTTGTGAGATCGCCCCCTGGCGTCGGTGCAGGGTAGACGCGAGGCGACCAGGTGAACCTTTGCGGAGATGCGTCTGAAATCCTGCGTCCTTCGCGGCGCACGACAGACAACTGCCGAGGCTGCTCGTTTCAACGCAGGTGCCGCGGGGGTTGCTCTGCGATTTCTGCAGGATTTCTGGGGGAGGGCGGACCTGATCCCACTTGATACTCCCTCTCCCCTCCGCTGTACCGGGGACTGAGCCCCCTGTGGGGCTGTCATTGATCAGGGCTATCCCACTTTCTATTGGAAAGGCAAAATAAAGGCTTCATTCCTGCTCTAGAGTGACTTCGTTGCGTGCTTGCTCTTCCCCCTGGGGCTGTCTATCTCTTCGGGTGCGTTTCCATCAATTGCAGGGATTCACTGGAGCCTGAGCGGTCAGAAGACCCTCCCAGCTGGGCTTGGGCAGCCTCCGCCGGGCAGCCTGGGGTGACTTCCCTGCCATCTGGCACAGCAGGATAACCCAGGTGCACTTCTGGAATTTCCCTCTCTGCCCCTCTGTGTTTTTATTCACGCTGGAATTCTGAATCTGAGTTTTTTTCAGCTCTTTTCATTTTTACCTTTGAATCTTTTTTCTCCTTGCACTAAAAATGTTACTTCCTTAATATTAACAGTGCCTTTGTTTGATCCTACATTGTGCATAAAATATTAGTTTAAAAATGTCTAATATTACTTCAAGCAATAAAGCCACTATTTGTTTTCTTTCTTTTTGTACAATAGAAATTATACGCTAAGGTTGTAGGCCATTCATACTTTCTATTCCCAGTGGTTCACCTGCCAACCTAGGATACACCCTCTGTCATTTCGGTTTCTCTATTTTAGGTATGGCTTTATTATTGACAATGGAATTTCACGTGGTTTCCAACTAAAACCTATAGAATAAGGCAATATTTAGAGAAGGTCTCTATGCTTCTGCTCCACCCAGTTCCTGATTTACAATACGTGTTCTTGGCCCCTTTTTTTGAACTAGAAATTGAACCCAGAGGTGCTTAACCACTGGGCTATGTCCCCACCCCCACCCCATGCCACCAGTCTTTTTTTTTTTTTTTTTTTTTAATGCTAAGTTGCTTCTGGACTTACTAAGTTTTGAGACTGGCCTTGAACTTGCAGTCCTCCTGCTCAGCCTCCCAAGCTGCTGGAACGACAGGCAGGCACCACTCTGCACAGCTTTTTACTTCTTCTTTTTACTTAAAATATGAAATATAACCTGGAACCACATAATCTTACTTTATATCAATATGAGAACGATTTTACTCATTCTTATCTATGATCATATAGTTGGTAATGTGGATCATATAGTTGGTAATGTCACTTTAAATCACTTCCCATTGTTGGATATTTAGAGGTGGTTTTCAATCATTTGCAATGATAAATAATTTCCAATAATATGCATATATAATTTGGCATTTTAGCCAGGATATATTTTTTAGTTGTAGATGGACACAATACCTTTATTTTATTTATGTTTATGTGGTGCTGAGGATTGAACCCAGGGCCTCACACATGCAAGGCAAGTGCTCTACCACTGAGCCACAGCCCCAGCCCTAGCAGGGGTATTTTTGGAATATCACCCCACAAGAACAAATGCAGGGCGGCCAAGAGACAGATGCATATAAGATTTTGGTATTGTGCCTAATGTTCCTTCAAGTTAATATGCAGAGTGCAAACAAACCAGACTCGAAGGGCTGACCCTTTACTGTGCAAGGTGACCGCGCGTTACAGCTCTGAATGGCCTGCTGTGTGGAAATTGATCCACTGCAGATTGTCAGCCAAGGTCTTATGCTTCTCTGTTGATTGGTATTGCTGATGACTCATGGGGTACAGAATGCCAGATACCCCGGAACCCAGGGGACTGAGAACCAAATAGCCATTGTGGTTACAAGGCATCCTAATGGCCTGGCAGACTGTCCTGACCCCACAACTGCCAATTTCACCTAAGACTGAATGAATGGCAGGTAGCCTCAGATCAGCCCCTGCATGGAATAAGCATTCAGGTGGGAGTCTGTGCTCAGAGCACGGAACTAACATGGCCTGTCACAGTGGTGGGTGCCTGTAATCCCAGCAGCTCTGGAGGCTGAAGCAGGAGGACTGTGAGTTCAAAGCCAGCCTCAGCAACTCAGTGAGGCGCTAAGCCACTCAGCAAGACCCTGTCTCTAAAATATAAAAAAGGGCTCAGAATGTGGCACAGTGGTTAAGTGACCTTGGGTTCAATCCCAGGTACCAAAAACAAAAGTAAACAGAACTAAATGTGGGGGGGCGCGCAAGGCAGGAACATTCCCGCGAGCACATGCTTGCTCAGATTAGTGTTTAGGAGGTGCAGTGAGCCTGGATCTTCATGGCCCTTTTCTTCCCCCTAAGCTCTCCTTGTCGACCTCCTTCAAGGGACACAGAAAAGCTCAGACTGGGTGCTCTATTGGTGACACTTTGTCTAGGAAAAGTCTGCAGTGGACCCCCCCACCAAAGGGCACAGTGGTTCCCAGCGACTGAGGGTGGATCTGCCTAAGACTGGGGTGGCCAGAGCAGATGGGGCCAGGCAGGGCCTGTCCTCAGATGTGCCCTCCGAGGTCTGCACCTCTGGTTAAAGAGACTATGCACAGGGGATTCTGCCGGGTCCCCCTGCTGCAGTGACAGATCCTTTCCACTCCTCATCAGGGCCTGGGGGTCAAATGAGGTCACAGAGCGTTGTCTGAGGAACCCAAGGTCTCACTGTGGTGCTACTCATTTCCAAATCAAGCCTGGCTCTCCAGCAAAGGTAGTCCCCAAGACTGAGGTGGATCCGGAAATCACAGGGAATACACAGGTGCTGTATACTGAACTGTGTGACCCTAAAATTCATAGTGAGGCCCTAGTCCCCAACGTGACTGTACTGAGACACAGTCCTTGAAAGAAGTCACGGAAGTCAGATGAGGTCATAAGGGTGGGGCCCTGGCCCATTATGAGGACACACCTGGGATGTGTGAGCACAGGGGAGAGACCTTGTGAGAACACAGAAGACGGCCCTCTGCTAGTCGTGGAGAGAGGCCCCAGGAGAAAGCAAGCCTGCCGGCACCTCGAACCTGGACTTCTGGCCTTCAGGACTGTGAGACGACCCCTGTGGTCACCAACATGTCCCTGTGGGTGGTGTCTGGTTACAGCCCCCAGTACACTGAGAGAGCACTGTCCACCAGGGGAGACTGGCACATCCCCAAAGCTGTGAGTCAGGATGAAAGAATTTAGGGAATGAAGACAGACAGACAGGCAGAAGCACAGCCCAAGAAGCCATAAACCACCCCCCCTCCCCCGGCCCCCCGCCGGGGGTGGGGGGTACTGGAGATTGAACCCAAGGGCACTTAACCACTGAGCCATATCCCAGCCCTATTTTGTACTTTACTCAGAGACAGGGTCTCATTGGGTTGCTTAGGGCCTCACTAAGGTGCTGAAGCTGGTTTTGAACTCACAATCCTCCTGCCTCAGCCTCCTGAGCTGCTGGGATTACAGGCGTGTGATACCGCGCCCAACCCCACAAGCCATTTTATGGTCATCTTGGGGGTGAATGTGGACAGAGGGGAGAAGAGTCTGATGGCAGAGAACCAGACCTTGAATGAACCTTCTGTGAATGGAGTGTTCCTAGGCCCTGAGCCACCCTCCCTATGGGGGGGGTCAGACTGCCTGTGGCTGCAGCAGAGTGCCCCCCACTGGCCACCTCCCAATGGCAGAAATGTATTCTCTTACAGTTCTGGAGTTGAAATCCAAAATCGAAATGGCGGCAGGTGGTTCCTTCTGAGGCTCTGGTGGTCAGTCGCTCACCTAGCTTCTGGTGGCTGCCTGCAGTCCTTGGCACTCTTGACTTATAGACCCCTCCCTCCAATTTCTGTTGTCATTGTCACATGGTATCCTCCCTTCTGTGCATCTGTGTCCAGATTTCCTCCTCTTATGAGGACACCAGCCATTGGACAGGGCCAACCTATTCCATTATGACCTCATCCTAACTCCTGACATCTACAAAGACCTGAATTCCAAATCAGATCACCTTTAAAGGTCCCAAGGGTTAGGACATCAACATGTATTTGGGTGGAGAGGCACAAGTCAACTATAATAGGACCCCACAGAGCCAAAATGGGAATGTTGTTTTAGGACATGGTGACCTTCGTGGATGTGGTTGTGAACTTCACCAAGGACACGTGGACCCTTTTCAGAGGAATCTCCTCGAGGACATGATGTGGGAAAACATGGCATCCACAGCCGAGGATGCTCCTCCTGTATTTAGTCAACAATGGGACCAGTGCTGGTTTGGTACCTCCTATGTCCTGAGAGGTATGTGAGAGATGGGAAAGGGGTTGTTAAATGACAGACACAGCCTCTGCCCCCCAAGTAGTGGACATTGGTTTTCCCCAAGAACCTGGAAGCCTGTCAATGACATGACATTTTCATGCCTTTCATGATGAACAAGCCTTTGTGGGGTCCACAAGTGGGTGTAAATGGAGCCCACGAACAGGGTCACTCTAAGGCACTAAGCTCACTTAGTCTTGGGTTCTTCCCTTTCCCATCTTTTTGTCACATATGTTGGATGGTCATGTGTAAAGAAATCCACATGGGTGCCGCCATTTTTCCTCTCACCCACCTTTGCTTGGGAGGAAGAATGTAACCCTTGTGCCACTTTATTTCAGATTGGGTGACTCAATGTAAAACCAAAGACCGAACCTCTCAGCCAGATGTTCTTGCTACAAGAACATTTCGTGAAGCCACCGGCTGTCTCACTGGCAACACGTGGTGGCCTTCCCTGTTAGAAGACCAGAAGTGCCACAGCACAGAGGAGCCACAGAAGCCAGGGGAGCAAAATGCGACCCAAGCTGCAGCTGCCCAGGGCAAAGGCGTATCTCCAGCTGTATCCTGTGGGTGTCACCAAGTGAGGGACAGCTTGAGGCTTGTGCCTTCGCAGAGAGAGTCCACAAGAAAATACATCCCGCCGTGTTCCTGGAATATCGTGACATATTGTCCCATCTTAAACAGTCATCAAGAATTACCTAAAAATGATGGCTGTGATGGCGTCAGTTGGCAGAACGGGCGGCTGGTCCCGCAAATGAGAACATGCACAGAGCCGAGATCACACCCGTGGATGGACAATCAGAACCACGTGCGTCGTGGACACGATAAAATTGACACGGGAGTGGATACTCAGCTGTGGGATGCGTCTGGAAAAGCCTTCAGTGGAGACACAGTCCCCAAGGCACCCAGGACTCCCAGTGCAGGGAGAATGCTCATTTCCAACCAGTGTGGAAGCAACTTCAGTCACAACCCAGCCTGGACCTTGCAGGGAGGATCCTCCTGTGTGAAGACAGAAGCTAAGAAACCAAGTGGGAAAACCTCTGCCCACGCTCACCATTCTGGTCCACACAAGAGAACTAACACTGGAGTGAAAAGCTACAGGTGTCGCGAGTGTGGCCGAGCTTTTGTCTACCAGTCCTTTCTCAGGAGACACATGGACATTCACATAGGCGAGCAGCCCTACGAATGCCAGCAGTGTGGGAAAGCCTTCAGGTACTCCCTGCACCTCAATAAGCACCTGACAAAGCACATTGTGAGCAAGAACTACGCCTGCCAGGAGTGTGGGAAAGCCTTCCCCAAGTCCTCAAAACTCACCTCGCACATCAGGACTCACTCGGCGGAGAGGCCCTATGCGTGTGAGGAGTGTAGGAAAACCTTTACTAAGTCTTCAGGGCTCCAGAGGCATCTCAAGACTCACAGATGATGGGCTGGGGATGTGGCTCAAGCGGTAGCGCGCTCGCCTGGTATGCGTGCGGCCCGGGTTCGATCCTCAGCACCACATACACACAAAGATGTTGTGTCCGCCGAAAATTAAACAATAAAAATAAATAAAAATTTAAAAAAAAAAAAAAAGACTCACAGATGAGAGGCTCCCTGCAGATGGAAGGGGGGTGGGGTCAGCTTCATCAAGGGTCTTGCTGTCCTGGACATGCCAGGAGGACAGACTGGCAGGAAGCTCAGTGAGTTAACCTGCAGGGGCACATCTTTCCAGAATTCTCCAGTGAAAAGCCCCTCCCAAAGGCTCCACCTCCTCCCAATAGCGCCACAGGCTGGGGGATATGATCCAAGTGTGTTATTTGCATGTATGAATATACCTTAAAACCATATTCTGTTAATAAAAATGCACTCATAGATGACTCCACCCCAAGATGACTGCATCAATCCAGTCACCAAGGTGGAAGCCTCAGGCCTGATCACCTCTTAAAAGTCTCGACCCTCCACACCACGGCATTGGGGATTCAGTCTCCAGTACTGGAGCTTTGGGGTACATGTTCTGGCCACAGCAGACTCCATTTGCCTCTACTGTGTTCCTCCTTCAATTGCATGTGTGTGTGTGTGCACGTGTGTGTGCACGTGTGTGTGTGTGCACGCGCTGTGGTACTGGAGACTAAATCCAAGCCTGCTCTGCCTCGGAGCTACATACCCAGACCTTTTTAAATTTTATTTTATTTGGAGACAGGGTCTCGCTAAATTGCTGAGACTGGCCTTAAACTTGCAGTTCTCCTGTCTCCACCGCTGCCATCTTGGGGATTACAGGAGTGTGCCCTGTCCCAGCTCTGTGATCAAAGTATGTTATTTGCACATAGGAATACACCATAAAGAAACCCATGTTCTATAAATAAAAGTGCACTTATCAAATACTCCACCCCCAAGAATGGAGGGTTTTTTGATTTGGGGTTTTTTGTTTTTGTTTTGGTTGCTTTGTTTTGTTTTTGGTGGTACTGGAGATTGAATCCAGAGATGGTGTACCGCTGAGCTACATCCCCTAGCAATTTTTTATTTTTATTTTGAGACAGGTTTTCTCTTAAGTTGCAGAGGCTGGCCTTGAACTCACGATCCTCCTGCTTCGGCCTCCTGAGCCACTGGGATCACAGACGTGTGCCATGCACCAGCTCTGCTGCTTCTTTCTATTTGCATAATAAGATGTTTTCTCTGCTTACATAGGAACACCCAATCTGTACCTGAGCCAACCCCCTGCTCATCTAATTCTCACACACACCAGTACCCCCACACACACCTAAACCCCTCCCCCCAGCCTAAATCACCCTGGGGCCAGCTACAAGGGACAACCCCTACCACAAGCTCACCAGAATTACACCTGTCAGTCCCGAGCTGTCTGCCTGCCTTCCTGGCCATTCCCAAGGAAACCCCAGTGCAAGCCGGGGCTTCCCCTCATCCCTGCTTCCACCTCTTGAGTGCTTCCCCTGTGGCCCTGTCTGGTGGCATGGCGCTGGGGCTCCTCCAGGAAAGATGAAAACAGTCGCCCTCCTGTATCCATGGGCTCTGCATCTGCAGATTGAACCAACTGTGGATCAAAAATAGTCTTTAAAACAATTGTGTCTGTACTGGATAGGCACAAGCACCTGCACTGTAAGATGCCACACATACTCTAGAGCAGACCTAAAATGAACAGGCAGACATGTGCAGGCTGAGTGTAAATACCATGCCATTGTAGAGAAGGGTCTCTAGTATGGATTTTGGTATCCCAGAGAGGTCCTGGAAGTGACCCCCATGGACACCAAGGGAGGTCTGTGACATCAACCTTTCAATGTCCTCTATGTCACACCTCCAAGTCGCATTCCTCATGACTAAAACACTCAGGGTCACTCCATGGGAACTGGGCTGCATGAAATAACCACACAAGAGACAGAGATACCTTTTTCTTTGGGGTCCTGTGACGGCTCCTCTGACCTTAAGGGTCCACAGGAAGAGAGAGCGGGTGCGCGCTGACCCTTTTTATTGAGGAGAAGCCATTCAAATGAGTCAAGGGGTCATGTTTCAGGGGTCTGAGTCTAGCTTCCTGATGTCCATTGTCAGCAGGTTGACTGACATCTAGGAAGGCCACACCCAAGGGCAGAGCAAGAGAAAGGGACACACAAAAGGCGTTTCCATGGAACATTCTATCCCAAACAGGGCAAGGGGGTAATATCACAAAGGAACCGGTGAGCATAGCTCGACCCCTGGGGCTGCAGGAAGGCATGCCTACGCATGAAGACACATTTGTATTTTCTCTACCCTCAAGATCGGGGCTACCATCTTAGGTTACTTAAAAGCAATCAGATCACGTGTGACCGACAGTGCCTCAGCTGACCAGGAGGGGAAGCAAATGCTCGTCACATGCTATGTCGGCTCCACACCTCCATCCACTAAATCCCAAGTATGATTTTAATCCAGTAGCAGTGTATAAACAGCTGGGCAGACTAGATCCCATAAGACTACTTAAGAACATTAAAATCTGCACTTCATGTCATTTTCACATATCACATGATGAACTCCTTCTCAGCTCAGCTTGATTGGACCCATGGACCAGTTTCCTGACCTCCAACTAAAAGAAAGAATAAAACATCACTGTCCCTGCTTTCCAGTGGAGAGAACAGAGATAAGGAAAGACTCAGCTCTCTCAAAATTCAATTTTTTTTCAATTTTTTTTAATCGGGAAATATGGATACCCACATGCATTTGAAAATGTCTACCCACTGCCCGGCGTGGTGGTGAACATCTGTAATCCAAGCAACTGGGGAGGCTGAGACAGGATGACCGCAAGGTGGAGGCCAGCCTCAGAAACCTAGCAAGACCCTGTCTTAAAATAATGAATAAAAAGGCCCGGGGATGTAGCTCAGTAGTAGAGCAGCCCTAGGTTGAATCCCAATATAAAAAAGAGGAAGAAAAGAAGCTAGGGAGGAAGGAGGGAAGGAAAATGTACACATGCAGTTCAAAGTCAGTAAAATGACCACCCACATACCAGTATCCAGGCCCAGAAGCAGTTCATCATTAAACAATTCATGGCTGCACCTTACCGGCAGCCTCCCCCAGTGCAGAGCAGAAACCCTATGGCACATTTTGGATCATTTCCTGTTCAATTTTATTTTTATGCCTATGCATAAATCCCCAGTGTTCTCTTTCCTACTTCTGATTCTTTTAATAATACATACGGTGGTATCCATTGAATATCTCTTAGTATCTCTTCTTTCAGAGAAAGATTCAGCCAGATAGGTAGCAGGAAGAATCTATCCTTTCATTTTCACTGCCCTATCGGTTATTTCTTAGCCTGGTTTCAGAGAGATTTATTCTTTATCTCACTGCAGACCTTATCGACACGGCTGCTGAAATCAATTCTTGCACAGGCCTCACAACAAACTTTGCAAAAGTCATTCTTGAACAGAGTGACTCTCTGGGTTCTGCGATTCACATATGTTAGAAGCAAAATTATTTTAGACACAGCAGGACTGTCTGGTTTCATTTATATGGTATTTCCAGAGGAAGCAAATCTGGAGAGACTGAAAGTGGATTTGCGGTGGCCTGGGGTGGGAGGTTGGGACAGGGAATTGACTGCAAGCTGGTGATGAGGAACTTAGTAGTGGAGGAGCTTTTAAACTGGGTTGGGGTGATGACTGTACAACTCTGCAAATGTATCAAAACTCTGAATTGTACACGGACCCTGGGTGGATTTCAGTCTGTAAAAACTTTAATGAACCTCTGCAGGAAAAGAGAAAGAAAAGCGGAAGGTGAGGATAGGGGGAAAGGAAAGAGAACCCTAAAGTTCTGCCAAGTTCAGTCTTTGGTGTTTGGGGAAGACCTGTCTGCTAAGGACTCTCCCAGAAGAAGGGGACTCTGCAGCCTGGCCCCTGTGGCCTGCTTTTCCTAGGGGCCTGCTGCTTTCTCCTAGAGTTGGGGTGCATTGGGACCCCCTCCCATCTTGGAAGGAAAAGGATGATCTGCAAGCTGTTAGCCCAGATGCAGCCCCAGACCACATGTAAATGGGTCTGGATCTACTCTTACCCCTAAAGTAAGGTTGGGCACAGGGATAGACACAGGCCAGAAGTCAGAGAGAGGAGGTGATGCGATCTTAGGGTTCCCCCACCCACCCACATAGGCCCTCAATTCCCACAGGGCTGTTAAATGAAATAGATTTAGCAAATCTACCAGGTACTTTGCAAATATTTACTAAGGAAGCCCTCACAATAACCCTGTCAGGTGGGTGTATTATTGCTCCATTTTACAGCAGGGGAAACTGGGGCAGGCTAAGCAAGCTGTCCAAGGTCAGCTGGCGGGTGGCTCGGCTGTGGGCCTCAGAAACTTGGCTCTTAGTTCCCCTGCCGGAGCCTCCCTGTACAGACTGGCTCGTGCATTTGGGAGGTGTTTGTCCTCCCCACTAGGAGACTGACCTCCTCTGGAACATTTCAGAATGGGGTATGGGGCTCAGAGAAATTAAGACAGTTGCCCAAGGCCACACAGCTCAGATTCGTCAATGCCAGTTTCTGCCTCACTCCTGGAAGAGAAAAATCACAAAATGTTCCTATTTCACTGCAACTGGGTAAAATTTAGTTCAAAAAAATTTAGTTCCATTTTCACCAATTTAATAGACATCGTGAAAAGAAGGAAGGATGAATGGATGTGTTCAGAGAGCCATATCCCGTTTTTGCAGGACTGCGCTCCGGGAACTATATTCAAGACCAGGGCTTTTATCCCGCAAAACAAGATCGCCAGAGGGAGACAGGACCCGGAGGAAATCACCTGCTCGGACCGAGTGGGAAAGAGCAAAACCCACTCAGACGGGGCACGGGCGCCACCTGGCGGCACAGCTATGCTAAGGCAGCGCCGCACGAGACAGAAACTTCAATCATTTCTCTCCTTTCAACCCGCTGGACCGCAGATCAGAGGTACTGGGAACACACTCCAGACGACGCTATTTTTCATAACATT